ATAAATTTAATGGGGTGATGTCAATACATGATTTTTCTTATAATATAAATTTCTCTAAATATATACATGATGTCCATGCATGGATAAAGCTAACGTGCGATGTCGTGGAGTCTTCAATTTTGCCTCTAGCGTTTGTCTATGAACTTGTGACACAATGTCCAATAATGGATGACTTCATGGCTGTACTGTGATCAATTCTATTTATTTTAGCCAAGCTTTTGCATAATCGTGAAACGAAAATAGATACATAGATAGAGTATCAGGAACTGTAGATGAGTTAAATCTGTACATGCTCTGCTGTAGTACAAACAATGAATGAAGTAGTGGTCGGCAAGGTTTCGTTCAAAATTAAGATTTTGGTTAAGAAATGTTTGCTTTAAAAGTTTCAGCTTGTGCTTGGAGATATCATATGTCATAAAGGTTGCAAAATTAAAGAAAAGAGGAATGTTGGATGCTAACCATGATTGCAATTGCGCATTCCGCAACAGTAGATTGGTGAGCATTTATTTTTTTGCATGCAGTATGGTGCTATTGTTCTGACTGGTTGGAATTAATTCAAAATATCTTACCGCGTACTGTAAAACACGCTTTATATATATATATATATATAACTTTATAACCAACAAAAAAAATATTCCGTCACGGGTTTTAATTTTTGTTTTCCTTGGAGATAAGAAAAGAAACAGATTTGATGCAGAAATGGATTTGCTATTGTTTGATAAAATAGAGAGAAATAAAATGGTTGGAATTGATGAAATTTGGAAGTTATGGAATGGAGCAACAGTGACGTTAATAGAAGAAAGAAAGTATATCCGGACAATTGACATATGTATACGTCACATAAGAATTAAAAAGAAAGGAAAGAGGTAACACCTTTGTTGGTGGCAGGAAAAACAGAAGAGAATAAGGAGGATGAAAAATAAAAAAGACAAAATGTGGATAAGATGCATATCTTGTTTATCACAAAGAGAAAGAGAAAGCATCCACGTTCCACAGTAGCAGCCAGCAGGACACAACACTTAACACGGCTCTCTCCACCTTTGCTTTCAAATCTACATGTACTGCGTTTGCCTCCACCACTATTTCAAACTCTAATAACTATTTTCAATTTTAAATTTCTCTACATAATAATTAAACATTAAAAAAGCCACATACTATTGACAGTATTAACTAAAAGAATGTGAGAATTGAAATATCATGCATAAAGCCTAAGTTCCAATTTTATTATTGTAATTATTATTTTAATAATTCAAAAACATTATTTGATAAAAGAAAAACTTTTAAATATGTATTGTAAATTTATACAAAAAATCAATACATTAATATTTCTTTTGATAATTAAGTGATCATTAGACAAAAACTAAGTTAGTAAAAATAATCTGAATGAATGTTTTTTTTAAGGGATATAATTTTTTGTATTCATAAAAAAAAAAAAAGCTTTTTTGTTGTTGATTTTAGCGGGGAAAAAAAACAGCCTCGGTGATAAGTTGCGATTCAAATGTGTATGCAGAAGATTTTGTAGGAAAATGTAAAACTTACTTAAATGATATTTATGTTTCGAAAGAAATTATTCAATCATCGATTAAGAAATTTCCTTGGTGCAACCAATAAAAAACACTTTCATCCTAACTAACACTTTTCTACTTATGTTCTAATAGTTAAAGTTGATGTTTGGAAATGAATCATAGATGTGACTTTTTATATCGAAGTGAATGTTATTTGTTTTTATTTTTGCCTTTTTCATACCGTGAACATTATTTTTTTGAATGTAAAATGTGTTTCCAAATATGCTCTTTGTAGTTGGTAGTTTTTCTTTGTTACGAAAAAGTTTATAACTCAATAATCGATAAATAAATAATGTTTTGAAACAATTGTATATTTCAATTTTGCTCAGTTTACAAAATTAATAATTTCAAAAAAAATTAATGTGATTTTATCTAAGAAATCTTTTACAAAAATACATAAGAGATCATCTATTAAAAAATATTAGTTAGATATTTTTTTAAAGTAGAAGTTAGTCATAAATAAAACTACTTCACATAATATATATATATATATATATATATATATATATATA